TGCTGACCAAAGGACATATCAATCAGGAAGCTACTCCTTGAGCTGTAGCACAACCTGATTTGTACTGTAGCTTAAGGAAGATACAGTGAAGGTATACGCGAAGTGAATGGAGGATGGGAGAGGAAGAGACGTGGCAGACAAGAAGCGCTTGAACCACACCGAGGGAATGCCGATGCATGCCGAGCATCAGCGGAGTTCAAAGCTGTCCCCGGCTCAAAGGCTTGAAGCATTCGCAAAGTCAGTCGTTTCATTGGACACATCCTTCGTTCGTGGCGAGAAAAATATTTTGGATGCAACAAAGATACAAGTAAGGTTAGTTACTGCCCTCAGGAAGCTTCCAATATTTTATTAGCAGGAAGTAGGCTCGTAGCTACGGTTGCAAGTTGGAAGAGCTCGTTTCCTCACGCTCAGGAATCTGTTAGGCGAACGGCTAGCCTGTCAGGCACAAATAGAGACTTAACGGTTAGCAAATTGAATTCGCACCTGTACTCCTGGCTGTCCGCCGAGTAGCATCAGACCAGTCAGGCGTTTGTTCGATCATTCTGATTGTAAACCGTCAGTTACGTACACGACGGCGGTGTATATGGCCGGGCCCTCTCGTGGCGTCCCCCGGGACCTTCTCACCGGTGGAGCGATTTCTGCACCTGACACGGGGCGTTCGTGCGTTCGCATTCATGTGTTTTGTCTCTGGCAGCTTGGGGAACAGCGGCACGTATGAGTGTAACGGCATCCGAGCTCAGCTGGACGACCATGTCCCCGCGACCCCCACGACCTTTTGGGCAAGATCGACCATACCCGGCGTGCGGGGCTTACATTCAGGCAGCTGCATCCGCATCCGCTGCGAAGTGAGCTATAGTAGCGTGTGGCGCCCGTTGCCGTGGCCACAAGACTCGCTGGGAGGACACATCGAAGCACACAGGTTATCGCCGAGTTGCAGGGCCCGAGAATACAGTCGAAACTGCGATCGGGCAATCTGTGCTCAGGGACCGCCAGCCGAAGCTCCCTCGGGCGGAGCTACTGAATGATCATAGAGAAGCGAAGCCGGCCGTTTCTTTCATCGAGTCAAGCTCTATGAGGCTTCATGCTACTGATTGGCAGGGACCCCACGAACTGCGGAGGTCAGAAGACTGCACTGGAGGACAAGGGTTTGCACCCTTGGAGCGTTGCTAACGTCCCGATCATGCACCAGAGTATTCATTAGCACACGATTGATAGAGGCACGGAAGAAATTTCATTCACTGCTAGAAGACGCCATTCCGTAAAGACTCTCTCCAGTGACTGCCCACGCCAGACTCGCCCGGATCGATATCGCTCACAACGACCTTCCGTTGCACGACCACGCTTGGCACAATCGAGTAGCTATGAACCCTTCCGGAAAGTACCAGCCACGCGTATGCTTGGTCGAGGGCCCGTGAGTAGGCAAAAGGTACGTAACGTAAGTGTTCGACGAGTTTGTGGGCACCACCTCGCGTGACTGCATAGGCATGCGTGCACTTTGGGGCTCGAGACGGATGCAGGGTTGTTGTTTTGTCGGTCGCGTGAGCGTGAGGTAACGCGGCGTGGTAGCTCTCATTCGACCAACAGTGGCCTAGGGCGATATTACGTGAAGCCGTTGAAAGATGGAAATGGGGCTTACCAAGGAATAGCATGTCCCACCGTTCCGGCATCGCACCCCATACACTCTGCAGTCTCTTCTGCACGTCCCGTTCCACGTCAATATCATCTTCCAAGATTAGCGAGACCTCGGTGTCCGCATTCTCGCCATCGTGACGTCCAGCAATCGCACGGAGTACCTCGACATGAGAATGCCAGCAAGCGACTTTCGAACGTGTCAAAAGCTGGTACGGGGGCAACGCCAGGCTGTAAGGCGGACCGCTGACGTAGTTTTGGCTCGCACAGGTCAAAGGCTCGGTTCGGGGGAACGGGTCCAGAATGGTGCCGTAATTTCCGGAGCGTGTAGCCGTGGAGAATGCGGAAGTCTCAGTAGTTAACGCGGCCGTGGTCCAAAGATCTGCGCCAGTCTGTCCCAGCGGACTGCGAGAGGGAGCCGAGACGTCTCTAGGCCACTCGAAGGTAGCATCGGTGCGTGATGACGTCCCATAGGCCTCTCTCGTCTGTTTGATGCGGTCGTAGATCGCGGAAATCCGCGAGTCGTCGGCTGGCGTCGCGTCGAAGTACGAGAAGTTGAGCAGAGGAACGGCGCTACGAATCCGTTCCATGGTGGCCCGTCTATCAGCGCGCGCGGACAGCGAGACAACGAAGATTTCAGAGAATGTTGGCAAAGTGGCGTCGCCGGCTGAAGGGGCCTGGGAAGGCAGTGTGTGTCCACCTGGCATTGGCACATGAGAAAAACGAGGTGATTCCGCAGGATTACCGTGACCGTCGCGCAGGGGTATTCCAACCAAGGAAAGTGTGTCGCCTAGCAGTTCCAAAGCAGCCTCAGACATGCCGAACCCGAGTGAAGTGGCGCAGAACAAGATCCAGGAAGACCAGGAGACTGTGAGCACAGTCAAAGCAAGAAAGAGGGAGCGTCGATAAGACATGGCCGTTTACTGGCGAGTTTTTGCCAACTTGCCAACTTGCCACGGGACAAGATGGAGGTTGCGGACAAGAAGTCGATGACGACGTCGTCAACAACAGAGCGACGAGGTGCGCATCAAAGCACATTACGTAAACTCCTATATTGGCAAGTCTTCAAGCTCAAGTCTGCTATAGCGTCGTGCTCAATGCTCGTGATAATCAGGATCTTTACTCTACTGACGTACTCTGACACCGACCACAACAGTATGGGACGGCGGAGAAAAGTCGTTTTTTTTTCCGCGCCTTGGCGACGAGCGAGAATTAGTGATATCTTTGAGGCTTATTGTGGCAGTCTCCGGCGCAGCCGCGGAGGTAATCTACTTATGAGGCTATGACCAAAGAGTAGCTTGACATGGGAGGAAAACTAAGCACTCACTGGACGTCTCGAGCTTAGCTCATCGGCGAGGAATGCGCCGTATGAGCACTCCACTCCGGCTGTCATCAGGTGCAATTGTGTAGCAGTGCTTGCCTGCGCATCAGAGGCGGATAGTTTCAGAAAATTTAAACTTCGTATGGCAGTGAATGGCACAGTATCAATAGTGAGATGACTGTGACCTTCGTAAGATCCGAAGACTTTGCAAAATGCTAGTGCTTCGTTGAGATCATCCTATATCATCGGGCTGCTGCTGCGGGACCCGTGTACCGCTGGCATATGCTTTGATGACAACACATATCGCCTTGATTTGGCGTGCATTTCCTTCTCCGGGTTTACCGTAGCGGTTGTGGCAGGAAGAAAAGAACGCAAGAGACGGGAGCAGCGACGTCCGTTATAGACGCCCAAGCGCCCGGCGCATGTAGCGCCCATCACGCGGGAACACTGAACAGTGCACAATACGCATACGCCTGCCAGAGTCACGACGATGTCGGCCAGGACTTCCTTCCAAGGGCCCGTCATAACTTCCTCCACTGCGCCCAGCCTCTCTGCGCTTGCTGACCCGCCCGTTCGGATGATGGACGGCCCCGCGATGGACTACTTCCTGATAGAGCTTGTGAGCACCATCCGCGCATCCTCAGCCATCGCCGTCGCGCGTACGAAGAAGGTTGAGCAAGAGATGATCGAGGCGGGATTGCTCCCTGCTCCGCTGTCCTCTGGCGCGACGCCATCGAACAGGGATTCTATGGCGAGCACGAGTTCGAAGCTGGATGGGAAAGGGCCTACGGATGAGGAGGAGGAAGAGGCAGTGAGGCTGAGACTGGAGTCGATTGGTATGCACGTAGGTGCAAATGTTGCAGAGAGGTGCGTGCGTGTCTATTGTGAAGGGAAATCCAGTCTAATTTCCCGGACCCGCAGGCTGTGTCACGAACGCCAGCTATTCTCTGACACCCTGGACGCAATCAAGTTTATCTGCAAGGATCTATGGGCTGCATGCTGGGATAAGCAGGTGGATAACTTGCGAACTAACCATCGAGTGCGTAGTCTACTCAAGGAGACAAATGCCACAGTACTGACGCGTCAGACCGCCGCAGGGAGTGTACGTACTTCAGGATAATTCGTTCAAGCCTATACAGCGGATATCAAGCTGGGAAGGGCGTGCTGATGCTTTGAAGAAGGCGAAGATCGTAAGTTTGAAATTTGCTCACAATGGACAGCATAACGCTGAGCTTGCTTCCCCGAAGTATGCAGCAATGCCCGCCGGGATTATCAGAGGAGCCCTTGCGCGACTTGGCTTCCAGGCAGTCGTTGTGCCGGAGATTACTACGCTCCCCCAATGTGTGTCGCGTGGATACTTGCCATATTCTGCATTTGCTCATGAACGTCACGCAGGCACGTTTCAAGTCAAGCTACCGAAGGGATCATAGCTGCATTGAAACTGGCTAAGAGGGGAGTCTAAGGCCGAGAACACCACTTCTCGTCCCGCAACGGTCATTGCTGCGCGAAATCTCTGAGATGGTACAACAAAGCACGTCCGCGGCTGTTGCCAATCGCGACGTACTCGCTGCCAGTGGAGAAATCGATGCTCGTGACATGGCCAAGAGGCGTGCCGAACGTCGGCCAGTTGGAGTATGCTGTGAGCGATGGGAGGTGGATCTGTGGCGGAGGAGCACAGTCAATAGAAGTACAAAGAGACATGCAGTCGAGACGTACTATGCGCATCTGATCCTTTTTGGTATTGCTAGCGATGGCGAGAAGCTGAGAATCGTGGTTAAACTTCACAGATGAGATAGACGTCGTGAGGTTGCCGATAGTCTTTAGAGGTTTTGGTCGCTTTGAATCCGACGTTGGGGCAGCATCCGAGCCGTACACGCTCACAATACCGTGCCGAGATCTAAGCAGCAGTGAGCAAGATGACAAAGCCCCGAACAGCAGTGACACTCACCCAATGCCAAGATACTGGCCTGCTCGGTCTCCGGTAATTGTCGTAGCGCCAAATCCTCCCTCGTCCTTCCATCGTTTGGTACATCTCCTCGTGCCAACATCCCAGACATACACCTCGGCGTCCTCCCCCAAACTCATCAGTTCGGCACCAGCCCCTCCCCGTGCCCACCATACGCCCTTCACCACCGAGTTCATCTTGACACTACCTACGACCTGTCCCGTGCCCGACCGCCAGTCGACCAGATGCACGTACCCCTTCCGTCCTGCGACGGCCAAAACCTCTCCCGTCGGGTTAAAGGCACAAATTTCCATGCTACCCTCCTTCATCTGATCACCAGAGAACGTCGTGCCCCAAAGGCCACGCGGTGAGCGTGATGCCGAGCCGGACTGCAGGTCGTACGTGTAAAAATATGGTCGCGGGCCAGTGAGTAGGACGTTTGTGCCGGTTGGGTGAAAAAGTGCGGTGGTGATAGGAAGGTCTGGGATATGTACAGTCTGGAGGTGTGGGTTTGTGTGTCCGTCAACCTAAGTGAAGACGGGGAGATCGTTAGCTTCGCGAGTCACGGAAATGTGCACTAGAACGAAAACGTACGTTGAAGAATCGTAGTCGTCGGTCCTCGCTCGCGGTAAGCAGCACAGGTATTTGAGCAGAAGGATGAAACTGAACAGCCTTGATAGCTCCTTCGGATGGAGCAGCAAGGTTCGCGTCCCGCAATCGCTCGATTGAAAGCGTACCAGGCGCAAGCTTCTTTGGTCTTGGACCAAGGATCCCGCCAGTGTCACCAAGGAGGTCGCCCAGTGCCTCATCCTCTTGCATCTTCTCCTCCTCATCGGAAGAGACCGACAGTCGTCGTCGCTTTTGCCTTGTCGGATGTAGCTTGCTCCTCGCCTTCTGTGCCCAATCTGGTGTGGGATTGATACGTTCAAACTGTCGACGCAGGCGTCGTTCGTATTCTCGCCCGCCAACAACATTGTCCGAAGGGGTGTCCCGCAGCTTGCGAAGGCGAGCGTTGTCTGCCAAGGACACGGAGATGTTTGTGTCGTCTGAATCAATCCAAGCGGGAGCCTTGCGACTTGTAGATGTCGATGCAACAGGCTCCGGTTCTACGAGCTCCTCGTCATTTTCTGACTGTTCGCTTGCATTCTCCTGCTCAGATTTCTCCTCTTTGTCTTCCGCGTCGGATACTTCGGACTGCTCTCCCATGTCTTTGGCGAAGTCCAACGAAGGTTGCTCATCAGAGGGAGCTCCCTGAGCGTCGTCTACAAAGAAGAGCTTGGTATCTACTCAGGAAAACATTACGGCTGTTGAACTTATGGAACATACGTCTGTGTCCATTAGATTCTGTAGCTCTTGTCCTCCTCCAACCTCCTCGAGTTCTTCATCCGAGACCATAAGGATATGGTCCTCGTTTTGCGGGGTGGGGGCATACTTAGTTCCAAAGAGCATTGACTCGAGACGTCTCTCCTCATCATCCTTGCTCGCATCGTCCAGGAGAGAAGCCGTCAGCTGAGTTGACCCAAGAGGCCGCAATGGCACCCGCGACTTCGCGTCCTTCTCCAGCTTCTGTTTCTTGTTAGCACGCTTTCCCATTTTTTAGAGCCGCGTAGGTGTGCCTATGTGTGAAATCCGGCACGAGAGCGAGAGAATGGAGGGCAGTGTGCAAAGGTACACCGGTCGAAAGCAATTGGGACGCCGAAAATGTGCTCGAGGATTGATCGCGCGACTAGCTTGCGGAACTTGCCGACTCTCTAGATTTGGAAACTGTCGTCGTTGAGTACAACCACGTAATTGACTTCGCTCATGAGCAGCACTATCTGCGGGATGGTGGCAGGCTCCTTCGCTGTAAATCTCGCATAACTTGGAACACATCTATAGGGCTCGGTAACAAAGCGAGGCGTGGAACATGGAGGCGCATGTGAAGCAGGGGGGAGAAAACGGTAAACGTAGCTGTGTCCCCCATGAAAGTGTTTTCGACACATTATAGAACGAGGAAAAGAAAAAGAGGAACGTTAATTCGAGCCCAGAGTTGCCTGCCGCCCAGTAGGTCAGATATTCGGCCAAGCCTGTCGTCGCCGGGGCACCGAATGAGTGGGACTAAATGTTCACCGACCAGGTTCTTCAGCCAGTCTCGGAAATAAGAAGCTATACAGCTTATCTTTTTCAATGTACTAGCACTATGTCGTCGCTGGAAACCTTTCCACGACCCCACCAACACTCGATGATAGGCGGTCAAAAGGGCAAGGCGATCCTGCTCCCACGGCGCTAATCGTCGAATACCATCAATATTGTCCTGGCTTTCCCACGGCTTGCTTTTCCGCCTCCGACCACCACCTTCACTTTCGGTGAAGTGCGCACATTCAGTAATGTTGTGTGCCGACGGAGACCGCGGCGATCGAGAGAAAGCATGAACAAGAGTGGTGATGGAAATGGAGCACGAATGTAGTCAGACTACGGTACATCGACACTGGACACGAGTAATTGCGTTGTACCTCAGCCGCTGTCCGTGTAATTGGTAAGTATACGCTTCCCGACATCCATAGCCGCAATATTCAGTTCGAGCTTGGTTCTCTCCTCAATCTATCAATGGGTATTTACTACATAATTTTTCAAGCTACGCTCAATATTGCTTGCATCAGCCTGCATCTCGTCCATCCGGCGTCCCCATAATTACGCAGGAATCAGCCTCGATCATTGACCAAGCGCAGTCACAAAAGACATACCCCGTTCTAAGCCCTTCAATTGTGGCTACATACCGAGATTATTTCCGAGTATGCTCGGAGCATGCTGAACACCCCGGTAATTGCGAGACCCTTGTACGCCTTCTGAAATGCCTCTGTTCACACTTCCGGTGTTGCCTTACACTATGAAAAGCAGCTTCTTGGTCGTATCTTCACCGTGCGCACGGCCGCTGTCTAATTTTTTGTTTCCTCTCTACCTTGACATCATTCGTGACTCTATGTTGCGTGATTGTTTTACATTTAGCTGCGACAAGATTGGAGACGCCAATCTTATCGCTTTCGGGACTGGGTCACCGGTAACCTCAGAGTACTGATACTATTGCGGTGCGCCTTTTTGATGCTTGGTACGTTTGTCATGCGCACGTTATTTGAGACGCTACGTTAACTGAAGTCATATTGCGGATTTTTTCTCGGAACCCTTTGCTTTTATATCTTCCTTGTTTGTAAATTCATTTCTGATTCCATATTCTCTACTGTGGCATTGATCACTCTTCTCGCTGTACCGTCGGCTTTGTGCAGAACTGCTCCCATGACGTAGTAAGTCGCACTGCTGCTTTAGACGCAAGCACAGGCCCTAACAATCTTATGCAGGTGCTTGTTCTACTGGTATGACCTGTATCGTGGCAGACTCAAATGGGTGTCAGAGGAAGACAGCAAGGATGGCATACTTCCTCGCCGCCAGAAGCCAGTCCGTAAGTCCTTACACTCGCAGACGATAGCCCTTATCGGTATGAGCGTGGGCTAACCGCCGGGTACTCGGAACATGGCTTACTATCTACACTGATTATGCCACAAAAGATGAGATTCCAGTTGGGATTGCAATTTTGCTACATCTGACAAAGTCTGAAAGAAGCTTAGTAAGGAAGCTGACGAGATTCACGCCACCATTTCATTATTGACTATGCTGACTATTGTGTGGCTGACAGGCCCTGCGATCGTAATTAGGGCTCCAGCAATGCAACGTGCTGGATATCTGACTAACAACGCGCTCCGCTATGTCCCCAGCGATCAGCCCTTATCCAACAACGCATTTCCAAGTCGCCGAATCCGAGCCACTTCCAACTCGCCCATTGGACGTACTGTTCTACGTTGGCGTAGGAGTTGTCGCGGTAATACTAGTCTGGTTCTCTATCTATATAGCCATGAAGATCTACGCCCTGCTAGGCGGTCCTAGGTGTTGGCTAGGCCGCTACATGCATTGGAAAGCAAGACCGAACAGCCTTGTAAGTGTGTCGCCGTTAATAATATTGCAACAGGTGGATGGCTTACTGCAGGCACAAGTCGATTAGTACAGGAGAAGAAGACGCTTCCCAGCTCCGAACTTCCGAACTCTCTGGGAGCTACAGTCCCTACCTTAACTCTTCGGACGCCGGCTCCGAAGGACTGATCAGTCCGGGAGGCAAGTTTCAAGGCCTTGGAATCGACTTTGGCGATGCCTCTCCAATTGCAGAGTTAGATCAGCAATACGGTGGACCTGTGAACGCACCGGAACCGCTCGCGCGATGAGCATCTACTTGGAGTCGACTGTCAATGTTGCGAGACAACTTGTTGGTGGTTTGAGGTTGGGAACTTACGTTGATGCCTTGCAGTACCATGACTAACTATCCGCTAGGCGGCATGCGATCCGATCCGAAGAGAGTTGGGCTAAGCAATGGATAGAGAAACACAGCGTTGTGATGCATCCAAATATTTCCCAATTTCTTTGAATGCGAATACAGAGCATTATTCTGTCTCGCCCCACTCCAAAGCACAGTAACTATTCAGTTTGTGTAGGAAACTACCACGGAGTCAATCGCGTACTCCGTAATATCGTTGGGCTAGGACATCGTGGGTCAATATGCCGCGACGTCTATCTATTAGCACTTACCGCACAATCGAATATGGTTTAAGTAACCGCAAGATATACCGTATCCTGTCCGGAGTATGATGCTTCGAGGTCTGGCATCGTCAAGGTGGTCGGCGGTGGCGTACCCATAGGCGGGAGCTCTTGAAGAAACGTAAGCTGCCGTGTGCAAGATGCTCAAAACCATAGTAGGCACTGACCTGCGGCATTGCGGATCACATACTGTCCGTGATAATACAGGTAATCGCTAAATTGGAACGTAGAATTTATACTAGACGTAGTCGGTTGGCTGGCCAGAATGTAGACATCCATCGGCGTATAGGACGGATGACACAGACCCTGGTTCCACTCAAGGATAGGGTTTGCCAAGCCGAATGCGAAAGGCTGGCCTGCGGTCACACTGATGCTGTCTATCGTAACGATCCCAGGGCTGTCGACGACCGGGGGGGGGGGGGGCTCATCCCGCCTTTTGGTTGAAAATGTAAAGCCCGCAACTGCCAGAGCGGCAGCGATTCGATGAGATAGAACGCTTGTACACAGTGCATGAGGGAGATATCGACTTTCGCTACTTTGAGTGAGTCCAAAGCCCCACCTTTTAACTGTGCCCAACGATCCATACGTGCTCACCAGCCACTCCTTAGTGGTCACATTCTGGCTGTCATGCGGCACACGCATGAAGTTCAAGGCACAGCCTAGCCGCACCAGAGGACGGTACTGCGGATAGGGTTGGCCGCCTTTACATTGAACCGTCATACGCAAAAAAGGATGGGTGGTTATGAACACAGTCAGACTGTAGCTGACGAGGAACCAACAACCCCCGCGACGCAACCTTACCGGGTCGCATTGGGCACTAGGCTGCATATTACGATCGGTGTTTCCCAAACTGAGCGGAATATAGAGACGAATACGGTGCGTGTTGGCTCCACAGCGTCCCGCCACTAACGTTAGTAATACCCGCGAGCTCTTGATACGGCCGGTGTACTCGGAGTGGCCTAAATCGACCGCCCAAGATTCAAACAATCATGATGTGGTTAAGATGCACGCCCAGGCACATCAGGCTTTGGTGGCTCCGCTGTACATACACAACACGGAGGAAGCCACGATGATAAGCTTCGGAGCTTGATGAATACATGAGATGATGGCACAATCGAACAGGACATCACTCTGGAGTAGTTGAACATACGGTGCAAGAACGCAAAATTACGTCGACGGTCATCACTTAGCGATCTCTTGCATTTGCCCACTGATAGCCTTGGCGGCGGCCGAGAACAGTACTACTATACTGACTCACGATGCCGTAACTGATTATTCATTACACAGTATGCGATGCGAACCGAGAAGAGTTGTTGGTATGGCTTAACAGAGAAACACGGCGTCGTAATAGTACATTCAGTCCTTAAGTCCTACTGATTACGAACATCAAGCATGATTCCATCTCGCCTCGTTTCAATCCACAGCGACCATTTACCCGGTGTATGAAAGCGCAATCGAGTCAATCGCGTACTCCCAGAAACCATCGGGCTGGGATAAGTATCATGAGTCAAGATATATGCCATGAAGTCTACCACATATAGCTTACTGGGCAGCCTTCAATGATTTCAATGGTAGCCAGATATACCACTTGCCCGGAGTACGATTCCCCGAGGTCCGGCGTCATCAAGGTGGACGGCGGCGGTGAACCCGATTTCGGAAGTTGTCCTGGAGGAAACGTGAGCCCCCGTGACATGTGTTGAAGATACTAAGGTGCATAGAGTACCAACCTGGGAAGTTATTGACCACATAGTCCCCGAAGTAGTACAAGTAGTCGCTGAACCCGTAGGTCGTGTTCAAGTCGGATATCGTTGGCTCAGTGGCCAGGAGATAGACGTTCACGGGCGTATAGCCTGGATGACAGTGGTTCCACTCGGGGACTGCTACGCTGAATGTAAACGGCTGGCCTGCAGTTACGCTGGTGCCATTTGCAGGAGCTGTGATACTCCCAGGGCTCTCCAAGGTAATTGTTGACCCTGGTGGTCCCTGCCGCCTAGCCGGGGACGCGAAGCCTGGAACCGCCAAAGCGATAGCAAGTAGAGAGAAAGCTTGTGTGAAGTGCATGGGTGAGATGTCGACCTTGACTAGAGGAAGGACATCCAGGGCCCGCCTTTTTAACTGCGTCCAACAGTCCCGACCCGCTCACTAGCCGCCTCGCGGTCTTGCTATGCCGCCATGCATCATGCCTAGTAGACATCTGTGGCATAGCCTGGACAGGTGAAACAACGTCCATCGCCAGAAGCGCGCTCTGGATAGGACTGGCCACCTCCATATCGCGGCTTTGTGAGCGAAGAGAGATCGGAGCGGCCAAGAACGCCATCGAGCTCGGCGGCCGATGATCAGCGACACTAGACGCCACCTAGGGAACTGCGCCTGCATACTGCATTCCGATCAGCATTTTCCACAACAAGCGAATACCTTTCAGTGCGAATCCGCCACACAGGACTTCACTCTGTACGTTTGTCGCATTTGCGAATCTTGATAGAGCCGGTTCGCCTTGCAGCGGCCTACCAGATCGAGCGGGATGAAGCACCTAACAACTTCTCTGGAGAGTTCAAACAATGAAGTCAGGGTACTCCATCAGGCACATCAGACTGTTGACTTACTGATAGTCTCAATTGCCCAGGCACATTACGAAATCCATGCGGTCACTGTGGGACAATTCAGTTAGCCTTCTGCCACGGAAATAAGCCTGACCGGCATACAACAGCAGTTCAACTTGTCGCAGTGGCTAATTTTGAAGTTGTGGTCAGGTTCGAGTACACTCAGTTTACGTCTTTCATGTCGTGTAGACTCTCACGTAGTATAGCAAAAGCGCTGAACCCGTCAAAACACGAAGATTTGTTTTCTCGGCTTGGATCTAAGCAGAATCGACCAGTGAGACAGCCTTCCTGACTATAGGAAAGCTCCAGGAATCTCACCGTCCCCAAGGAGTGAGAAATTCATTTGCCATAATAGATACTTGCAGAAGAGACTGCAAACTTTGTGTGGTCATCAGAGTGGGCGATGACGTTAGGAGAAGAAGTGGCAATAAGCACGTACACTGCATCTCGACTGGGTCTCAATAACGGCAAAGTGAAACTTCTGGTCAATGTATGCAGAGTTAAGGTCTGGCATCACCGAGTATGGATACAGAAGGCTGAATACGGAATGTTCCGTGTACATAGCAGTGTCATGCGTTTATGCGAAACAGATGTAGTGACATTGAATCACTGAAGAAGCCCGGTACTGACTCTGGTCCCGGAGCGGTTCTGACTGAAACGAAAAGCTTGAGCACAATAGCCAATAAAATAATATCGGGAAGCCATATCTGCGTCATTCGACTTCTTCATCTGCCTATACCACATCGTCCAGGTCAATGTACAGTTATGGAGGCCACAGATCCATGGGCCGTCGGGGCGGTATGATTTGAGCCGAGATATCGCCGCGGCTCCAAGCGGGGCTGGCTCAGGCCTCGAGGGGTGGGGGGACGAGCTCGCCTACCTTGGTAATTACAGCTGACTGCGGCATTATTAATGTGGCCAGCCTGAGCTTGCCGTGATATGGTGCACGTCAGCTCGATGCTAATAAGCGTCGTCATGGGCGTCCGGGGCAAAGTTGCTGTAGTCGCATTATCCGTTGCCCGTGGCTCATATCTCTTCGCATATACCTGTATCGACTCAACGACTAGAGAATAAGTATCAGACCATTTCGACACTTTTCTCGCTTGAGCCACTCACTTTCGAAAATTACACCGAGAGCAGCGGTACCGATCAAGATCATGCGCCGCGTGCGAGAGAGCAAGGTATGCCTTCTATCGTGAACTACTGCATGGTGTCGCGCATGGTTGGGACTGCTATGCAAAGTAGGGCGAGGCTTGCGGCGTGCTGTAGCGGTGCATACTTTGAGCGAATTCTGATGATCAGACACGAGTGCACCTTGTCGACGCAGTGGCAAAGGATGACGTCGCAATGAACGTTCTGGTCGCGTACATGCTCTGCAGACTCGCGGGTAGTACTTGTCCAAGCAGCGGAGAATATAAGTGCACGCTCAGTCAACCAGCTGCACAATCAAGCATGCTTCGTCTTGCTAGTGTCAGTGCTGGGTTAGCCGACATCTCCCGAGGCACTCAGATAACCTCCCTTACATTGGTAGTGTTGACCGGTACACATAGCCCTGGTGGCTTGCCCAGTGCGAACAAGGCACTGCCTCCGTACACGATCGGAACGTGAAGTTTGAAATTAGACAGTCCACCAGCGAAGTCATCATGAGGGGTAAACGAACACCGAGACGCTGGGAAGCGCTAAGGATAGGCGCATGTTGATGGCGGCAAAGCGGCAGGCGCATCAACGGATCTGCGCCACAAAGACTAGTAGTTGCTGAAAACATGACCTGCGGTGCCACTGGTGATCTTCTGCTGTCCTCGAGCCAAGTCCCATTATCGAGATGCATCTCCAACACTACTCAATGCGTCAAAGTAGCGCTAGGCTTGCCCATAATGAATGGCCTCGCGGAGCGGTGAGGCAAGATTAAGCGCCCTCGGAACCGGTTGCAGGGCGCTCCGTATCGCCGAGGTGGACCCATGTGCGAGGGCAGATGGTGTCCAGCGGCCCCAATGCAATCACTAGCCATCTCGCAGCATGGTCGCACTGTCCATGCTTGGACCCATATATAGTGATGCCCGCCGCCAGAGTCTCGCTGTAGGTAGGACTGGCCGCCTCCATAACACAACTTCGTGAGTAAAGTAATATAACAGCGGCCAAAAATATTGCCAAGTTCAGCGGCCACGAGCACCCAACGATACTAGACGCCACCTAGAGGACTGCGCCTGCATGCTGTATCCCGATCAGCCTTTCTCATAGCTAACAGGTGCAAGTATGAACGTGTTACGCTTCCGCAGCATCTCGCCGACGATTCTCGTCGCACATGCAAACCTTGACGAGCTCGGTGTACTCTGGAGTGGCCTAGATTGACTGGCGATGGGCCCACGGTGAAGAAGCAGTGCAGGTTAGTATAGGCTTTATAAACTCGCATGATAGGCTTGGCTAGACCATAGACATGGTGGAGAAATCTATATGGCGGCTGTGAAAAGTTTCAAGAGCGTTCCGGATGGAAGTTCGATTAGCATCTCCACAACTTAACTTTGTCAGCGCTTTATCGTCTGTTCCTCGCACTGGCGCCTGCTGGGTGTTTGAGCTCTAAGTTTCGTAAATCGGACGTGAGTGTTTATCGTTCTTGGAAAAGCTATACTAACGGAATCCCACTATGGAGAGAAAATCCCGTCTGGCCACCAAGCTGTGGGCAACATTAGAAGGAAGAAACGGGAAGAAGGGCACTTACGAGGCAAGCTGGCCAAGTCTCAGCAATGGAAAGACAGGTCGATCTCATGGTCAGTATATGGAGATATGAGGTCTGGCATCGTAAGATTGGGAGGGTGAGAGCCGAACACAGGAAGGTCTGCGTAGATGACGATGCTATTAGCCTGTGCGAGCACATGGGACAATAGCATCGGCTCACCTGCGGAGTTCGGTACGGCGGAGCTCCCGTAGAAGTAGGAATACTCGTCAAGTCTTTGTGTAGTGTCGACGCTGGATGTATTTGGCTTGTGTGGCCACTGAGGTGGCGAAACCAACAGAAAGCAGAGCGGAGGTGGTGAAGCGCATCATGTAGTTGCTTGCGTCGAGGAAAGTATCGTTGCCACCGGCTTGAAGTTACTTCGATATTTTAACGCGGGGTATTGGCCGTCCCTAAGTGTTAGTGCATCCATCTCAATGAAGGCTGGCTGCCCTCGGCGCAGAAGACGCACATCTAGCGAGTAACGCCATGAGATGGTGAACATCGAAACAGCCGCACATCCTTATGTAAAGTCGTTAAATCCAAGTTCATTGAATGTCCTGCTTCAACGTTCGTTTGCGAGCCTAGAAGCGCTCAAGGTCAGTCAAGACGTAGCTCACTGGAAGTTATGCTACGTACTATTGACGCGGCCATTTAGGGGCTTTAAAAATGCAAGGAAGAACGGAAGAGTGGATTAGGACAATCTACTAAAGTAGGACATACAAGAGTGCAAATTTATGGCGATGGCACGTTGAGCTCTGCCAGCAGCTTCTGCACCTGCTCGGCCATGGTCGGCCGGACCTCCGCTTGCTTCTTAGCTGGTGGCTGGTCAACATCCATCCCATCTACATCGTCCGCGACCCTTCTCCGTTTCTGCGCAAGGAAGTTAAGGTACTCTAGACTGTATTGCGGCCCCGGTGGGTGTGCCACGTCTATTGGCGGGGCGGCGAACCACAGAACCTCGTTCGTCTCTGGGTCTCGATCAAAGTACTTCCCTACAGACACCCTTGGTCAGCCCATGTAGTAGCAATCAGAAGACGGGTCGACGCACCGGTCTCAGACGGCAAACGTTCTGTCAGCCCGTTTGTGCCCAGGGCAGCGCCTCCCGCTGCAGTGAGGATTGATCTGTCAACGGCTGGCCTCGGCGGCAAACGCGAATGCTGATGTGGGTACGCCTGGTGAGGATGTGGTGCTGGCGTCGCCGGCGTCGGCTGACCCTGAATCGGCGGCCCCACGTAGAGCCCTTTGCTCTGTCCGACGCGATCTGTCATGTCTATCCGGCCTGGCGCTGTAGGCGCGTTTCTACGTGTCCTCTTTCTCCCGATACCGCCGCCCTCAAGTTTCTCGCCCTCAGGGCGCTCAATCACATCTCCAATGCCGCCAGGCGCGCGTCCAGGAAGAAGTTTGCCGGCGACGAACGGGCTCGCGAAGCGACGAGGGAAGACAGGGCGCTCGAAGGGGTAGATGGGCATGAACTCGGCGGACTTGCGTACCTCCTCCGGGACGCACGAATTCCAATTCTTGATTTTCACGAAGATGCGTTCCCGATCGTTGTACCGGCTATCGCACACGAATAGCGGCCAGCCAGGGTACCAGTAGGGAGGACGGGGGCGGCCGCGGATGTGCCGCGCAGTAAATTGGCAGGCGACCTTTTCAATTAGATCCTCAACGGGGTGGTCTGCAAAGTGACCTAGAGCAAATGAAGATCAGCTGAATATATCATTTAGAGCTACAAACGCACTAGTCTTGAAGACTTCGCCCTCCCAAAATTGGCGCATAGCGGGATGGTAAGTCTGTTCAGGACGGAAGTACCAGCATACAGTGATGCCTGGATGCCCCTTCTTAGACCTACAGCGACCATACCATCAGCAGCTGTGCTACAATGTCAAGTAGAATAGCTCACGGCTCCTCCGAGATCCAACACCTAAATACTTGTCCGATAATCGGCCGGCACGGGTCGTCGCAGTTTGCAAGGTGTACCCAGTCCGCCATTTTGATGGTCCACCCCTTGTACTGAACAGAGTCCACAAACTGCCTGTCTTTTGTGGATACGCGATAGGCGGTTACCCCGGGTACGCCCTCTGCGTCTGTACTGTGTAGCGGTTTTGCGATGCCTGGAGAGGCAGGAAGACCGGCGAAGTTCGTCTTGGAGGTATAAGGTGGACCCGATGGTGGCTCGGGGGAGACGAGGGCCTGATAAAAGCGTTGCAAGACCAGAACGTTAGCGTAGCCGTCGCTGGTGGGTTCATACCACCGCCGACCCTTGAGGAAGAGCGTTTCCATGTCTTTATCGAACTCAGCAGAATGATATTTCCTCTCCTTGGCTCGGCTCTGGTAAGATAACAATCAGCGACTGAAGGAATAGTGCTGGGGAAATTGCTAAACTAACCTCGATGAGGGACAAGGACAAAGGATTCTGCAGTCGGGCTTAGTTTCTGAAGATACAGCGTAATGTCGATACAGACCTTGTAGGGCGTTTCAAGGATTTCAGTTTCTTCTGGCAGAGCTTCAAGCGAAGAGGCCAGTCGGTTGCCGCTTGAATGAGGTTTCAACATAAGCTACACGCAGGCAGAGAGCGACACTCACTTCGAGTCCTGATATTGCGAGATAGCTTGCAGTGTAGGGAGGAAACGCTCCTACAGAAGGGGAAATCCATTCATTCAAACATTCTAAGGTCAGGGAACGTGGGCGCACCTCTGGAATGTCATTCGCCCAACCAACATCCGCGAAGCCTTCCCATCGTGGCAGCCCTTTCTCCAGTTGTTGCACAATTGCATCGCTCTCGCCGTCGAGGGCCATATCCTGTGCAGTAGTCTCTGGCTCCGGACTGCCCCCTCCATCCACATCTATCTCAGGCGTCATCTGCCGTTCAGGAGTCCTAGGCACCGCTGTTGCCCTCGTAGGCGGAGCAGGCGTCATTCTTGGGGCAAGTTGAAATGCCGACTGAGGCGTAGACTCGGGCTGGAGTACAGGTGTGGTGGGTAACATAGGTGTTGTTGTAGGAGCAGGATCTGCAGATGATCCTATCACTGCTGGTGTCGGGAACGTTGAGGCCAAAGCATGTTCCGGAAGAGAAACCTTGTGCACAACTTGAGCGGACGTAGGAGGAAGTGCTTCAGGAGGGGTAGGCAACGGTCTTTTACGCCATTCCTCGTCAAGCATGCGCTAGTTGGCGAGTGAGTATATTGAACGTAGGACACGCGCAGGACGCGTACCTTCAGCTGGGCTGCATCTTTGGATATCTGGCTAGTTTCTTCATTGTAGAAGAGCGCGTTCAAAAAAACTAAGTTGAGGTCTTCGTACGCTTGTAGAGGGTCCTTATATGTATTCTTCGCGAGAGCTTCTTTCACGCCGTTCAAAGCTCTCGGACTCGGAACGAGCTGGAGGCAATAGTTACTATCAATGACTTATGTTCACGGAAGACCAGCATTACCCCAGACCTCGTAGTACTCAGCCCAGTAGTCCTTGTCCACCAAGTTCAGGAACATATCCGCTATCCGACGCCTTCGCCCGCGGGGTGCGCTCGCCGTCGCGTCGAGTAGTATTTGCAAAATGGATTCAATCTCTGTCTTCTGTTCTGTTTGTATTGCCATAGTTTTGGTCCTTCAGCAAGGCAAGGCCGAGATAATAAAGAGCGAAAAGCGGAAGTCAAGCGGCAAGCCGCGAAAGTCAAGCACCCGCTCATATATAAGCGCGGGCACGTGCGCCCGAAACCCGACCCCAGTGATGCGACTCTACCCTCTCAACCGAGTTCTTGACTATGCGATTCCAAGCGGACTGAAACGCTATCCCACCTATGGCTGGACCGTGACCGGTGACCAGTCTCTAGCGCGCCATATTTCGCGAAGAAGGCGGCACCGACGGCGATATGCCGACCGGGCAGTGTGCTATCATCAGCGCGGGATCGTGCCTGTGCTCTTGGGTACGAGCGGTCAAGTCAACAGTCCAACTAGATACCGAGGAGCATGCGGGTTGAGAGGGGGCTTGAGAAATTGTCTGGTTTTTGGTGAGAGCCTCTGCTCCGATACGGGCATCTTTCGACTCACGTATCTACTGGTAGCACGTATAGTATAAAGGGTAGGAATGTCAACCACAAAGCCGCATTCAACCAGCATTGAAACCAACCATGGCACCCTTCACCGAGATCCAAATCCCTTTCGCTGTCCCCGATGTGGACAAGCCATGCTTCACCTACTGCAAGATCTTTGGCAACCTCAAGACGACGCAGAAACGCCCACTCGTCGTCGTGCATGGCGGCCCGGGGATGAACCACGACTACCTTCTACCTGTCGCCGACCTTGCAGACGATGGGGTGGTCGTTATTTTCTATGACCAGTTTGGTGGCGGCCGGTCAACGCATCTGCCTGAGAAGAACGGCGACACCAGTTTCTGGGTAGAAGAACTGTTCCTGACCGAGTTTGACAATGTCGTCCGCCACTTGGGCATTCAAGACGACTACAACGTACTCGGACAGTCGTGGGGTGGAATGCTCATGGGCCGTTGGGCGAGCCGCCAGCCGAAGGGGTTGCATCGGCTTGTGATTGCGAACAGCCCGGCGAGCATGGAACTCTGGGTGGAGGCGGCGAACTATCTGTTGGCACAGCTGCCACAGGACGTGCAGGTACCTACCTCCCAGAGCCTTTCACACGAAATCTGACCGATGAGAATTTATGTATAGGATACATTGAATAAGCACGAAGATGCAGGCACGACGGACTCTCAGGAGTACAAGGACGCGATGCAGATCTTCTACGATCGCCACGTGTGCCGCATAAAGCCGATGCCTGAGGAAGTTGCCATTGGCTTTCGCATGCTTGACGAAGACTCAACGGTCTATTCCACCATGTAAGCTCCCTCCGCCCCGTGCTCTCTGCGTCCTTTCTGAGCGTTCTGGCAGGAACGGCCCCTCCGAGTTCCACATCACTGGTCCTCTGCAACACTGGAGCATGCTCAACGATGCGCATAAAATTGCGGTTCCGACACTGCTTATCAACGGTCTTCATGATGAGGCGCGCGACAGTGTCGTCGCGCCATGGTTCCAGCGCATCCCGAAAGCGCGCTGGTTCACCTTCCCGAATTCAAGCCATATGCCGCAATTTGAGGAGAGAGAGAGGTATGTGCAGGTTGTTCAGGAGTTTTTGTATGGGCCGTACTCGCGGTAGGACCTTCGAAGTACGGTGATGTGACTCTTGTTGAAAGTACTATTATTACCTCGAGCGATCGCTAAACAGGGGATGCTCCATCAACCCTCTCGTCGCATTCCGGATGTGTCGTAAGTTTGCTCGTCCTCATCTCTGGTTAATTTACACTTGTCAGAATTCTACCCCAAACTCAACGTTTGTTGCGTTCGTGATCCAAGTTTCCCCCTCCTCTTCAGCTCTATTCCTGCGCTAGGAATTCGGCAATAAATCTCATGTATGCCTCTCGCTCCTCCCAGAATGCCATATGGCTGCTGTTGGGGAACGTATACCAGCGCGCATGAGGGATTTTCCAGAACAACGGTCCGACGACCTCGTCTGTGGCCTCGTCGTACTTCCCGTTCAACACAAGCGTCGGCACGCTAATCTTGTGCAACTCCGGGGTGATGTCCCAGTCTTTAATCGAACCCGTGATGTTGAACTCCGAAGGGCCAGCCCTGACGGTGCATCGATTAGCCGAAGAGGGTCGAAATTACGGTGAAACGAGAAGACATACATGGTGTAGTACACAGTCGGATCCTTCATCATCCACTCAAAGACAGACAAGACCTCGGTTGGCCATGGGTCCAGCCGCATGACATACGTATTCATGAACACGGAGATCGCGGCCTGATACTCTGGGCTATCGGTCGTGCCATCCTTCTCGTGCTTCTCCACCGTGTCCTGCGTATCTCAGTTAGCATTGACAGCCTGATCATGAACCTGGGACTGGTGCTCACCTGAACCTCCTTCGGCAGCTTGTGCAGGAGCTTCCGCGCCGACTCGGCCCACGTCTTCATACTCGCAGGCGAGTCTGCGAGGATGAGTCGGCGCAGGCCCATGGGGCGCTTCGACGCGATACGTGATCCGAGCATCCCTCCCCAAGAGTGCCCGAAAAAATCGTACCGCTCAATACCCAGGTGCTTGAGCAAATTGTTGAACTCGTCCTCGAAAAGTTGCTCCGTCCAGAACGCTTCGTCGCCGTTCTTCTCGGGGAGATGCGTACTGCGTCCGGTGCCGATAGGATCATAGAATACAACAGTGAGGTCGTAGGGGTCAATTGCGAGGTCTGCAAAGGAGATAAGGTAGTCGTGCGCGAAGCCTGGCCCGCCTTGCACGGCTACAAGCGGCAGTTTCTTGCTCGTTTTGAGATCGCCGACAATCTTATACCATGTCACGCACGGCTTGTCGACGCTGGGCACGCGGAAGGGTGCTTCACCTTCAGTCACTGGCGGGGCCATTTCGCGGGTAGGGCAAGCTGAGGCATCTGAGTTGCAGCGACGAGAATATATACGCTTACTACCGCCTCCCGAGGTTTGATATGTGAAAGAGCATCAAGACAATTCGTGTGCTCGCTATTCAATATTCAGTTTTGGGACAAGGTGATAAGCGGTGCGAAACGAGCGAGCACCTGCGAGGGTACCGCATCAGGCTCTCCATGACCTTACTATTATGTTATGAAACAAGTCGGCGAATGAGTGTCACGCTGCAGATACTTTAGCGCCAGACCTCCGACGCGATAGCTCGGCACCCTGATGAGACACCTGCCGTGATAAGCTTGAAAAAGTGAAACAGCCATGTGTCGACCATATGCAAACATACCAACCAGAGAGCCTTATTGGGCCTTGATAACCGAGATGGTCGAGCACGTGCTGCACACAGGCGCTCGCGAACCTGGAGAAATACCAAGACTGAGGCTCACGCGCTACAAGAGGACCATAGCCGTATCGGAAAACGGCCACGCATGTCTCTGCTCTCTGTATGTTATTTAGGAAGATAATTTGACCCAAGTATTGCATACCGAGGCGGGCCTGGTCAAACTGGCGGGAAATGCAGCCGTCCACGAGAAACCAGCTGTGAGGAATTTGTACTAGTTGTCAGCAACTAACAATCCAACTGGACTGAGCTATGACACAGCTGAGGAGACAGACGAGAGAAGAGTGAGTGAGTAAAGACCAGCTTGAGTCTGGCTTGTTATTGAGCAGTACAAGCTCCTTATATACATGTCAGACTCAATACCTAGAATATACTACAAATATACGGAGGCATATAGAAAGTAAAGGAATACTGTGGAATCTGGGAGAACCATCCAGAGTATGTAATATTCATGACATTACCCCCCCCCCCCCCCTTTAGAAACGTGGCCTCACAATTATTTACCAGTGGACCCAAAGCCTTTCTGTTCCACGCTGAGTTTCTGTCAAA